AGAGCCCTACAATGGTACTCGAAGTCAGAAAAATCATAACAATGTTAGAAGAATGTTGTCTGTGGTATATTTTCACTGCAAAACAATAAGAAATGCCGCAAATATCACTGCAAATTTTGAGAAAAGCCGCAGCAAAATCAGTCATTTTAGGCTGCAAAAATCATAAAAAAGTCCTGCGAAATCCTGGAGGGACTGATATTGTTACTAGCAACAAATTTTACATTTTTGCCATTGACTTATCAACTATTCAGTTTTGAAAAAGTGAAAGTGACGTGATGTGTGGCCAAGGAATTTGTGCTCTGCATTTCACCCATCCAATTTTTATGTACTAGTATGAGTACTTATTCATTAGGTACTAGTACGTATTTTTTAGATACTAGTACTCATTCATTAGATACTAGTACCTATTAAATAGACATTAGTACTTATTCAATAGATACTAGTACACATTTATTAGATACTAGTACTTATCCATTAGATACTAGTACTTATTTATTAGATACTACACAGTAAATTCCCGAATGTTAAATGCGGCTCACTTGCTCAACACAACCCAGAGTTACAATATGCCATAATTCCAGCCAATCAGAGACGAGGCTGCTAAATTCTGATTGGCTGCCTTGACAACCATTCACAAAATGTCTTGCATTACCTCGACAGCAGAAGAGGAAAAATACAGTGCATGCATAATCAGGGGCGCGGGAAGATGTTTTCGGTTAGGGGTGCTGTGTGTGTCCGTGTTGGGTGAAGGGGGGCTGGTTCACTTACGTCGGTGCTCGTGCTCGGGCTGATGTTGTTTGGATGCCGATTTTGGAATGTTTTTGCTGGGATGGGCATTTAAAAAAAATCAGAAATTCGCTTTTGCGCCATTATATCCGTGTATTAAAGTGAATCTTGTTCGCATTCTGTATAGTTCATGTCTGATACCACGCGCTAGCGTCAGGTGTTCATGAGGATTAGGCTAATCATCCCATTTAGAAACATTGTAATGTAACTAATTACTTTCAAAACAGTAACTAGTAATATATAATGTATTACATTTTGGAAGTAACTTGCCCAACACTGGATACTAGTACTTATTCATTAGGTACTAATGCTTATTTATTAGAAACTAGTACTCATTCATTAGATACTAGTACCTATTAAATAGATACTAGTGATCAAGGCTATGTCGATTAGCATTGCATTTTAAATATACTTTATTCTTATAAAAATACCTGAGATGGCTTGAAGAGCACAGATAAAACCATATATTGTCGCAGTCATTGTTTATTTTCTTCATGTTTCATCAGTAAAAGGTCTATCTGCATGTTATTCAGCTACTAGGCTACATCTACAGCGAAAGCTGAATGTCTTTGTCCATATAAGGGGTTTCCTGGAACGTCATCAGTGAGTCTCACCTGTGGAGTTTCTACGTGAGGGCGCCCTCTAGCGACGAGTATGCATGAAAAAGAAATTACATTAATTGAGTACTCATTATTGCTCATAAAACCCTAATTTGGGTAAAAATAGCAAAAAATAATTAAGAAATTTGAGGTAAACATTTGCAAATCCTTACGTTTTTCTCCAGGGTAGAGAAGTGTACATTTTTTTCCCTTGCAGCTATATTTATTATTATATTTATTCTTAAGTACTCAGTTTTGTATATTATAGTGAAATAGTGCTATTACAAAAGTAATTGTAATAATATTGTTTAATATTTTTATTTAGAATTAATAACCATAATCATTATTAGTTATATTGACATATAAAAACAACATTTTTGGCCAAAATTGTGCATCCCTACAAGTACAGCAAACCTTTTTTTTTTTTTTTTTAATTATTAACCTTTT